GGGGGGGGGGGGGGGGGGGGGGGGGGGGGGGGGGGGGGGGAGAGAAATGTCAAGACATGGACAAACAACAGGGGACTACTGCCTGACATGGAGTTACCCTATTTCTCTATTGGACTAAAAATAGTCTAATTAAGAAATCAGGAAGCATCTCAGTATGGTACTAATTGTCCTGGACAACACGAGAACAACCAGCCTGAAGGACCCCTTGAAACTACAGTACTTTAAATACCAGATCAAGATACGCAAGACACTGGATGACAATTTATTAGGTGTACCACAGTGGCAAAAAACACTACACAGTACTGCGGTGGGTTTTTTAATAAAATACAACAGCATATGACCCATGATTCCATTAATCAATTATGAATAGGAAACAATTAAAGCAGTATGATGATAATTTTTCCATACTCACAAATTAGCTTCCAAACCAAGACAGTCATGTTTGAGAGTGAAGCTTGAGAGCCCACTGCACATTTCATGTAGTCGCCTTTTTTACCTTTTTTTAAAAAAAAAAAATAAATCTACAACTGTGTGTCTGCTTATTTTTATTAAAAGCATACTCACATACTAAATTCCAACACAGCACTTAACATGCCCACTTTGGTCTGGTCATGGTACAGAGACAACTTCAAACCTGGAAAAGCCTTTATTTGCTCAGTTTAAACACCCCCAAGTCCTGACAAGCAATCAAGAAAAGACAACTAAGTGTCCTTCCAATGTCTACTATTATAGTCTCCAGAAAAATTAGTTTTACTGCAGCTCTTACACTTCAATAACTCCTTTCTGTCTGAGTCAGCACAAACAACTAAGTAGTATTATCACCATGTCAAACAACCTTCTACCTCCACCTTACATAAACTGAAAATGTTTTGGGAAGTTGCTAATTTTTACTTTCCTTTTCACTCTTCACAACATTAACTGCTTTGCACTGACATTTTACATCAATTTAAAAAGGATGTTTCATACTTTATCACATCCAGTTTCCTGCAATTTCTCAACTAGAATGTCTTTCAGTACTGGAGTCACCATAGCTAGAGTTCTGAGCACTCCATCTGCAATTTTTAACAGAGAATTCTTCATAATTTTCTCAAATTATATTTTCCAAAACTTCAGCTGCATTGCACATACTCTTGTTCAGCAAAAAGATATAAAGAGAAAGCCTTCATTCTGTTTGTGTTAGTCATTTATTCAGCATACATCCACCATCCCCTTGAAATGAGTAGGAACTCGTTTTCTGCATCAAATTTAACCCAAATCGATTGGGGTTTTTTCCCCCCATCTCTGAGAACTAGACCTTAAAAACAAATACCTGCATCCACCGTACTGACCACTGAGTTATGAAGGCTAAGAAGGAACCAGAAGAGGTGTGTTTAAAACAAGAGAAACCATCTAAAAGTCTACTAAAGGCACTTTAACCTTTACACCTACTTTACTAACAAAAGGTGCAGTTGCTTTAGACAGCATCATACATACTTATGAAACAGCACTAATTATAATGCTACATACTTTTGCCTTTAAAACACTGCAGTAAAACAATATTGTCAAAAACTACAGAAAAGTGTTTTGAGAACAACATTTGTATCAACACATGAAATCTAGCAAAGATTCATTGCTTCAGCCTAACAAGGTAGTTATAGCTTGAGCCTTTTGGCATCACCACTGCCACTTGCTCTAGTTACCAGGAGCCTAAGTCCTTTGCAAAACCAAGAGCTAGCTTCCCAAGAGAACTCAGATGGAAAATTTGGAAGGGGTATGTGGGGGTGTTTAACTGTTTGAATCTAACAGACATATAATGATATTAATTCTAATACCTAGTAATAAAGCTGATCCATACCACACCACTGCTAACAGAATATTATATAGCCATTCTGATTAAGCTTGTTATGTTCATTATATTCATTAACTTATTAACAATGCTTTGTGACAGAACCTAAAACTCTCACATGAGCCTCTTAAGGCAACTTGTAAATGGTATTACACCAGCACTGAATAACAGGAACTGCCTGACAAGCCTAAGACCCTCAGTAAGACTGGGTTTCAGAAAACAAAAGAAGAAAAAAAAGCCTTATGCAAAGGTACTAGGAAGAAAAAAAAAAAGTTTGTTTCCCCTGACCCCCAAGGAGGAAGATTATTAAGGAGGGGATTTATAAAATGTTAAGTATTAATAATAGATTGAAATATGACTAATATATCATCAATAACAAACAGTTACTTATTATTGTTACTAAGTCAAAGGAAAACCCGACTGTCAAGAAGTAATTCCTAAACAGAAAGCAACTTTTTCATTCATAAACTATGACTGTGGTCAGCTGGGAGTACCGGAGTGCCACTTGAACAGTGACCGTCCCACCATCACCACAGGCACACGTCTGCTCCCCACACATGCACACTGTTAACCCAGCTGCTTCCCGACAGTCGGAGGAGTTGTAAGAGTATCTTTCCCCCGGCTCCCTCACTTCCCTACTACCTCAACCATGCCGTTATGTCACCTGTTATTTTATTCTCCTCTAAGCTTTTTTGGGTCCTCCCGACTGACTAGCTCTGGTGTTGGCTTTGAAGACTGTTCCAAGATGCAGCAGATTTACACCACCCTGACTCTTATCAGTACTAGTCCTAGGCATCCATATTTAAGAGACCACATCAAAGCTGTAGAAAACTTTTTATTTCAGTCTCAAAAGTAAGAAAGCCAATTTGCACCACACTCAACAGTTAAAATTCATGCTCCCCCTGCCCCCAAGCCCTTATGGGCTATGCATTTGTTTCTGCAAGCTACAGAAGGAAAAAAAAAAAAAAGCGATCTATAGGGACTCCGCACATTATGAGAAAGCTTTTAATATGCTAGACTGAACCAAGCACCATGCAATTTTTCTCCTTTCCAGTACATACATGGTTTTTGTGTTACCTCCACAATTTGTTCAGGAGCCTATTTCTATAATTTTTTTTAAGAAGTCTCTATCCATCACCAACCCTGCGGAAAAATGATCTGTCAGACCACAACTTTGAAGGAGCTCTCAGCAAGGACCACTCATATTTTAGTCAACCAGCTCTGTCCTCATTTTCAAAAGTCAATATTTAGAAGGCAATGTTTTATCTTTAACTACCAATTCCAGGATTTTACTAAAACTTTTTCCAGACTGCAAAGAAAATTTAAGTACCATCTATATGTTTCTATTTTAAATAGTAACAGTATCTGCATATACTTGTTAAACCGCATCTTAAGTCTTCATCAAGAAATGCACATAAGCAATTAAAGTTTACTAGTACATTTGTGCATAAACTAATCTAAGCAATACACAGACATAAAAATGACAAAGATAAAATATTTTACCCCCAACATCCAAAGCAGTGTGTTGTAGTACTGTGAAATTTCATAACTACAAAGTATACAGGACTAGTCCTGTGCTCAATGACCTAGGAAGTGAATTACACTTTCTATATTACAACATCGGCTGCCATCAACTATGAGAGATCAACACTGCACTGTTCCCCCACACACGGAGTAAAACTCAAATATGGCTGTTCTGATGATGGCCCATGCCAGTGTCTATTCAAGTCATACAATTAACAAAGCCTACCCAATTCTGTGACTACCTGAATTCATGCAATTCTTCTTTAAGACCCAGTGGTGGTCCAATGGCATGAAGAGCAAGTTAACGACAAGTCAAGCACCCTGCAACAAGGGGAGGACAGCGATCCTCTGCAGCAGAAGTTGCTCGCACTGCAACTTCACTCGTGACCCTGCCAGAAGCCTAATGCATTCCAGCAAGGAAGATCGTGGGGTTTAGTTCTTGTTTTTTTCAGATTAGCTGGCAAAACCCAACTACAGGATTAAACCGCCCTGTTCGAAGGCACCGGGTACTGGCCACACCGTCTCCAACCCCAACTGAACTGACCCAGCGAATCACCGTCCCCACCAGCAGTGTGCTGCTCTCAGACATCTCACATCGCTTTACTCACGACATGACAGAAAACATTAAGCCACCTAACGAGCCCCAGGCATCAGCCAAGACAAAAAAAAACAAAACAAAACAAAACAAAACAAAAACCCACAACACAAAACCCCCTTAACCGGCTTACAGCGGGTAAGCAGCTATTCAGAGACGGGAACGGCGCGCCAGCGGCTGGCAAGGGCGGGGG